CAGTAGGTCTGGGGTTGTCACAGTATACACGGTAAAATATGGTACTTCTATGCCAAGACAACACATGGGATTTCAGAGGTGTGATCACCATTAGTGACTTTCTGTATTCCTGAATTGTGCAAATAGGGATCCTAACTTAGAACCTGCGTAGAATTTCGAATCTGATTACAGGACAGCTGCTGACAAATTTTATGAGTTGTGTGTATTAAGTAGTTTTTCAAGTTACAATAAGCCTAACAGTTTTGAAGTATTTCAGTCATGGTTTTCCCAATGCCATGTATCATCAGTGAGTTTCCATGGCCAAGCGAGCATTCAAGGTCTGGTCTCCTGAGACTTAAGCCCTACTCTTTTACTGCTGGCCCTAGTCCTAGACAACACAGAGACATGAGGAGTTTCCATGAAGATGGAGGAGGTGGCAGGGGCTTAGCATTATGGGAGCTGAAAGTCAATAACGGTCTGCCAGTCTCATTCTACTGCAAGCGCATCTTCTCTCTCCTCCACATATTTTTTACAATCCTTTTATAATTACATGCTGTGTGAGACAAGAGCTACTGTTTCCAAAGTTTTTACCTCAGATCAGCTCTATTTCATTGAACAAAACCCTCTTCTTAATAAGAGGGGGTAGAGGCAGTGTTAATGATAGAAGGGTGTGGATAATGTATGATCCCAGTGATAATTGTAGTGATCTGAGGTGGGTCACGGGCTCCTCTCCAGAAAATGGCTTGGGATAATAAAACATTCCATGTGAACAACAACGATTGAACTGCTGAAGGAAATTTCAGATAATTCTGGGACAGCTTCTTGTGTAATTGCACCATGATAATGCCTGACAATTGATATTTTGATAAGGGTTCTTTAACTTACTGCGACTCATTGATAAGGTGCTAGGAGACGTCCCGGGCATTTGCCTGGACCGACATCCAATTACTCAAATGAGTTTATGCCCTTGAGCATTATGAAATAGACACAATTAACTGCAACAAATTATGCAAACTTTCCATAAACACAGATAGGAATCTGGCCAATGTGGTGGGTGTTATTTGATAAAAAGAGTTTCCTGCACCTGATGTGATCTTTTCCATGGAAGGCAGTCAGAGACTCAATGTCCCAAATATCAGCTTTGGACTGGCAAAGGTGTTGTGGTTACAGGACATACGGAAGAGATGTCTGAACTGGTTGCAAGAGTTCGATGAGAGGCTTTCTCCCCAAAATTATTCAAATGCTTTCTCCCCAAAATTATTCAAAGGATTTTTTTCTTGCCAAATTACACAGCACGACAACCTTCCTCTTTCTAAACCCAGTCACCAATACCGCTCGGGGAGAGCCAAAAACGAAGCTCCTGTTTCTTTTCTTTCGACCACGCAAGGAACGAATCGGGACCAATGCTCCTTCTCTAATAGACTGTAAGAGGCCAAGTATAGTGTGTCTCCTAAAAACACAAATATAAATACTTTGGGCGTGATGCTTGGGCAATGGAACTCATTGCTACTGCAGTAGGAGTGACCAATACGGTCTTGGATAGTCTTCTGCATGGAGTGAAGGCAACAACGAATGGAGAGTTTTCAATAAGGCTGCCAGGTTGCTCTTTTTCGCCTGTCATCAAAATAAAAGGAATTCTTTTAGCAGAATTTAATGTTGTAGGGAAAAAATTCTGCCTGGAAGCGAGAGAGGTTTGCCAGTCCAAAAACTAGCTGCTACTCCATTCTCTGGATCTTTTTGTTTCTTCCCTCTGTTTTGGGAGACCAAGACGTCAACCAGTCTCATGCCCAGAAATGGCTCCAACCCAGTGTCCACAAAACCATAATCAACAGGTTTATTTCACCTCCCTCCAAACCCTTACAACCAGTTCAGACATCTCTTCCGTATGTCCTGTAACCACACCTCCTCTCGTCCCCTGTGCAAGACGATCAGGAGAGCCATAGTGGGTTAGAACAAACCTCTCTCTTTGAAAGCAATGAGAATGCTATACTCTGAAGTTCAAACAGACTGGACTGTGAGACAAAGGTTTGCTCCGTTTCCACTGGATTCTGCCAAAACAGGACCTTTGAGTTCTGGAAAAAGGAAACAGGGCTGTGCTTTATTTCATGATGGCCATGAGAGAACCTGTTCATTCTGCACCCAAACATCTTCCTTAGAACACCAGAGCAGAAGGTGGCTGTTGCATTTGTGTTCCAACTTGTGAATTTCCCAAAAGGTGGCCAGAATGCAAGACTAGACAGGTGTTTTTTTCATATGATCCCCCCTATGGCTTTCCTTAGTGGCGTCCATCATGGATGAGAGATCTTGTGGTTACAGAACATATATAACAGATGTCTGTGGGATGGGAGGCTAGATTAACCTGTCAATTGTTTTGTGGACACTGGACGAGATTTGTTTGTAGGAACGGAACAAGTCAGAGCAACTGTCCCCCAACACCACCCTCTGGACATGGTCAGCAAAGAAGGAGCGGAACCACCGTAAAACAGTGCCCCCAACTCCCAACCCAGCCAGCCTATCCAGAAGGACACCATGGTCGGTGGTGTCGAAAGCTGCTGAGAGGACCAGGGGTATGAACAGGGTCACACTCCCCCTGTCTTTCTCCCGGCAAACGTCACTGTACAGGGCGGCCAAGGCAGTCTCCATACCAAAACTCAGCCTGAAACACAATTGAAATGAATACAGAAAATCCATTTCATCCAGTAGCACTGGAAGTTGCCCAGCCACAACCCTCTCCAACACCTTGCCCAAATAAGGAAGGTTCACCACTGATCAGTAGTTAACCACTAGCCTTGGGTCCAGGTTAGGCTTTTTTAGGAGTGGCCGAATTACCACCTCTCTCAAGGTGGTAGGGACCACTCACTCTCTTAAAGAGGCCTTCATGGCCTCCTGGACCCATGTGCGAACCCCCCTGGCAGATATTCTAATTAGCCAAGAGGGGCAAATGTCAGCTTTGGTGGACTACCACAGACTCAAACTACCTAGAGTTCTCTAATACTCTCATGTACAGTACTTGATTGAGTGTCATCGCTATGGCCTTGCTTGATTTCTTCTTCAAGAGTTCATTTTGATAATCGTGATACCACTCCTTAAATATCTCATATATTTGAAAACCATTTTAGGGTTGCTGTAACTTACACAAACTTTGCTCTCCAGTAAATAGGCTCAAGATTATTACCATTCATCCACTCAGGATCCCTATTTGCATAATTCAGGCTGATAATCTGAAGAGTCCTCATTCCAGTCTGAACATTTATTTCAGTTCCAAGGCAACTTTCATACAGTAATGAGTTAGAATCATGTTAAAACCATCCCAGTAAAATTAAAACAATCCAAGATTAAAATAATCAAATCATCACAGAACACAAGGACGGAAGTTGCACATAGCATGTCTACTTTAACGGCGCTCCCACCTTCAAAAGGTCATCCAGAGTATCATGCTTATTGTGTAAAAACCCATTAGGAATGTGA